AAACCAGACAAAAAAAAGAAAAAAAGGAAACCCGGCAAACTAATTAAAAGCTGGCATTACCCAGACTCCCGCGGGAAAGCGGGCAGCAAAAAAAGAACAACAGGCAAACACAGCATATTCCCAGACTTTTAAGGTCCACTCTAATCAGATTTGCACCGCCCCTCCCTGTGCCCAGATACGACGATCACTTCACTAATTTGGAACCACCACCAGCAAATGATGTCCGACACGCAATCAAAGTGGATCAAATGGACAAAACACGCTCCAATGGGTACACCTTTCACACACCGTCAGTCGGTGCATTTACACTTCCTGTCCAAAACACACACACACACACCTACACGCACTGATGTACAGCTGCACTTGAAAGAGATGACTCCAAAATAGCTCGCAATTAACAACAAAATCAATTCCCAAATTATTATTAAGAGCAGAGGTACAGTGCATAGAGAGAGATGACAGCACATTGCACCAAAAAGACGCATTGTACAGATTAAAATTGCAAATGGAAAACTTTACAGCAACAACTACCCCTACGTGCGTATAAACCAAACCAAAACAAGATAAGAATTGTCATCGATTAGGCATTGATAATTGGGGTACAGAGTAAAATAAAAAACAAGGCTGTCAAAGTACTAAATTTTCCTCACAACAAAAGAAGCTACCCAAAAAATAATGTGTATGTGACCACTGGTGATCGTTTCCGATACAGATACAGTGTCTCTGTCTCACAAAGGTAGCATAAAAAGTCACATTGTACAAGAGTACCCCTCGATCGATAGAACGCCTTCTCTCCCTGCGAACACATCAACACACAAAAAAAACAACAGCTGTCAAAAGTTCCGCACACAAATTGGTCTATCACTCTAATTATCAAGTCAGCACAGCATTTAGAGATTAGAACTGTAAATACAGTTAGGCAATGACGCTAATGACTCCAGGCAAAAAAAGTTACTTTTTCAAGATGGGAGACATTCTTGAGATATACGATTCAATATTTGAAAATACAGCTGCAACAAAAATTAAAAGCTATCAACATTGATTTGGCAATTTTTAAAAATGCAACTTTGGCAAGGATAGTGAAATAGTGCAGTCAGGTTGTCAGAGCGGCAATATCACAAAAAAACAGTTTTTTAGCAATCAGCTGAGAAAAGCCACCAAATGACTGATAGAGGAAGTAAGATGATAAGAGAGTCTGAATGATAGCTGTCATAGCAAAAATAAAGAAGGTACCCAATGAACTTACCCAATGAAATAAAGTGAAACGATGCAGACGCAACTGGTTCAAGGCAGATCGAAAAGAACAAAATAAAATTGAAAAATCGAAAAAATTGCAAATAAAAAAATGCCGGCGGGTTTGAAGTACTTGTGCTTGTGTGGTTGAGAAGTTACAGTTGAGAAGAGACGATGATGAAGGAGAGGATGATGTTGTCGGTGATATAATAAAATATTAGATAGGAATCACAGGGGTAAATCAAATCAAATTGAAAGAGAGATGGCTAATTGAGCAGATAATGAGGAGGTGAAAGGAGTGAGAGTGAGAGGAGCAGGAAATCACATTATTGTGTGGGGCGAACCCATTGGCCAATCGTACCATGATGTGGTCGGCGATGATGCTATTCATCATGTCCCGGTCTTCGAGCAAGTTCAAGTGCAGTGTGTGTGTATTTGTGTTGTGGCTGGTTGGCTGGCTCTCTGCACATTTGTTGTGTTACCATTGGCAGTCACAGTGGGGAACAATCAGTGCAGTCGGTGGCGGTAGAAATCAGTCGCTGTCTCTGTGAGTGTATGTGAAGAGCTGATGCGATGGTGACGGCCAAGGCGAACTCTTTCCATTCGTTTCTCAGTCAGTCAGTAGGCAGGGAGGCAGGCAGCGGAGAGCAAACGAATACTGCACGCCAGCAGCAGCATCATCAGCCATGTTCACGTGAATTGACTGGCAAAAGTTGTAAATATAACTTTCACTTGGTAGCGTAGCATAGACATCACTTGACGACGTGAACGCCGACCGAACACGAAGAAGAAGAAGAACCAGCGAGAAGAGATTGAAGAGAAGGGAGAGAGAGGAGACAATTGAAAGAGCTGCTTCGGTTGCTCCACTGACGAGAGAACCAAGCACCAAGACCTCGCGCACTAATTGCACGCACGTAAGATGAAGTTTTGCTAGTGCGACAATGTGTNAAGAAGAACCAGTGAGAAGAGAAGGGAGAGAGAGGAGACAATTGAAAGAGCTGCTTCGGTTGCTGATGCTTCCACCGACGAGAGAACCAAGCACCAAGACCTCGCGCACTAATTGCACGCACGTAAGATGAGGTTTTGCTAGTGCGACAATGTGTGCGAGCTCTTCTCCCTACCCTTACACTTCGGAGAGGAGAGATGAGATGAAATGAGATGACGAAGAGCTGATGATTCTGGTGCCGACTGAAGAATGAAGACTGAAGACCTTTGTGTGTGGGGATTTATATTTAGGGACAGAGAAAGAGGAGATAAGGCAGATGATGATGATGAAGAAGTGGTGGTGATGCTGTAGACGCTGGTTCGGAGAAACGGGCTGAGCTGTTGCAATAACACCACAATGACGACAAACGTGTGCCTCGAAGATGGCCTGTGTGGTGGTGTGCGTACAGCTTTCAGTGCTTGCTGAACTGACTGCTTCATTCATTCATTCATTCACAAAGTGGCCGTCGACGACGTCGCCGGCTTGTGGTGCAGCACATCTTGAGGTAGCGTAGGGAGTTGATGCCGCCGGTGATGAAGGTAGTGGTGTTGTTGGTGCTAGTGGTGCTGGTCACAGTCACTGACATCGCCGCCGCAACCACGGCGACATCGCTGGACATCATGTGAGGGTGCAAAGTGCAAATGGGAGGTAATTTGAACACCTGCGAAACAATTGAGTGCGGGTCACCAGCAACCCAGTGACAACCCTGACTGCCACCAAAACAAGTGCTCTTGGTGTGAATCACCACCGCCGTGGTAGTGGTGTGTATGAACCTCGGTGTGTTGCAAGAAGAAGAGTTAGTCCGATTGCACTGGTCTTTCGTCTCTTCACTTTACATTAGTGCCGCCACAGCCGCTGCTTCTGCAGACGTTGCGCCGGGAAAAACAGAGTGGGCACAGCAGCAGACAGTCGGGCAAAAAAAGAAGAGGAATCGCCGTGCTTCGGCTGTTCACCACTGATCACAGCTGGTACACATGAGACTGAGACTGTGAAATATATAATGCCCCGGCAGTGCTCTTGTACGATTTCGCGCCCGAGGTGCTGGTGGTACCGGTACAGTGCGCCTGCTGCTGCCTCCTTCGTCGGATTAGACCACCTCGCCGCCGCTGCTGAACTTCGGGGCGAAAAGATGTTCTTGTTGATGTTCTCTGTCTCCGTCTCCGTCTCTGTCCAGGAGAATCGACAGCAGTGTAGCGGTACGACCTGGGCACCACTTTGCCAGACTTTGCAGACAGACGACTGAATGATACAAAACAACCACTGGACACAGACGACTGCTGGTAGTGCACATTTGTTCTTGAGCTTGAGCTTCTGTTTCGAGGTTAGTGTGCTAGTGTCGCTGGAGGGGGGTTACTTTCTGAACGGTCAGTTAGCATGACAATCTTTTTGTCTAGAATTGGCAGACAGGGGAAGTCATTAGTGTGAGAGTGGTTGCGAGGGGCAAACAGACGGCGAGTTGCTCTCTCCAGCCAGGGCTAATAACTTTCTCGCTAATTCAGTTATGATGTGTGCTCACTGGCAGTTGGTTAGTAGAGCATGAGCGATTTTGTTGTTACACTGTACCACACGTTGATGATTTGTGGGTTTTTTTTGTTGTGTGCAGCCCAATATGCAAAGTATTTTCACGGCAAACTCAATAAAGGAGAGCGACCATCAATTTGGCGATGATGGCACTGAGCGGCAGCTAGTAAGAACTGCTCACAGAACTGCGACCCTGAAATGGCGATCAATTATTTAGGTAGGTGGTACGTNTTTTTGTTGTGTGCAGCCCAATATGCAAAGTATTTTCACGGCACACTCAATAAAGGAGAGCGACCATCAATTTGGCGATGATGGCACTGAGCGGCAGCTAGTAAGTGCTGCTCACAGAACTGTGACCCTGAAATGGTGATCAATTATTTAGGTAGGTGGTACGCCACATCATTGACGATATCTAGACTGATTTTCTTTTCGAATTGAGAATGAATTAATAATATTGTGCAGTCTAATGGCAGCAATGAGAATGTTCTTCTGGTCGATGAATTATTGATTGAATGAGGGGGAGGGAAGCTGTGTGCCGGTGAATAGAGCCGTACAGTAAAAGAGCAGTCAAGTTGAGTTCAGCCACTGTTTAGAGAAAGAAGGAGGGAAAGTGAAGATAATTACATCTGAAGGAACGATGACATTCGCGTGCACTCTTGAGGCGATGCACAGTTTTGCCGTGTGTCCCCCCGTTTGCAGTTATAATTGCCAATTTTCGTGCACCGCTAAAGCTGCTGGTGGTGGTGGTGGTTGTCAAGTGAGTAAGTGAGTCGTAGTTAGGCAGGCACTTGTTGTTGTAGGCTGTTGCTGTTGTTCCTTGTTCGAGCAAGTGATTGCCGCTTCCGATTGTTGTTGCCGCTGAACTTCAGCCAGCGAGATTGTTGTTGTTGTTGTTGCATTGCCCAACAGTCGAAAGTCGTCGAAAGTGGTCTTTTGTATTGGCGATCACGAGGCGAAACTCTGGCGCTGTTTGCACCAGATTACAGCTGAGGGAGCTGAAGCCGTTTGTACAATTTTTTGTTTTAGCAATAAAGTTGTCGCAGAACAGTAGAATCGAAATGTGAAATTGGAAACTAGAAAAGAATGTTCCTGAATAAAAGAAAACGAACTGCAAAAAATAAAATTCAGTCGTGATGATCCGATTCGTAGACAACGTGCCCCCTACGTGTGTTTACTTTTCAGTCAGCTGACCACTTTAAAGCAAAAACTTCAGCCACTCTTCAACTTCAACACAACACAGCAAACACTTTCGGACCTGATCATGGCACCGAACGCCCAGACGAAGACGCCCTCCGCCTACGAGGAGAAGTACCCGCGAGGCCTAGCCGCCTACGAGCGGGCCAACGCGCCCCTGAACGCCATCTTTCTCGGTCCGCCCGGCGCCGGCAAGGGAACCCAGGCGCAGAATGTGATTCGCGACTTTGGCGTCTGCCAGCTGGCCACCGGTGACCTGCTGCGAGCGGAGATCGCCTCCGGAAGTGAACTGGGGCAGAGGGTCAAGTCGGTGATCGCCGCCGGTAAGCTGGTGGACGACGACCTGGTCATTGACCTCATCGAGGCGAACATCGACAAGCCCGCCTGTGCACGTGGCTTCCTCCTGGACGGCTTCCCGCGTACGATAACTCAGGCGCAAAAGGTAACGATAGGCTCCCTCTCTTCAGAAGTGAGAATCTTTGTTTGCAACTTACACGCCCCCTTTATCCTTAGCTTGATGGTCTACTGGAGAAGCGTCGAAGTGAGCTCAAGTCGGTGGTGGAGTTTAAGATTGACGACAGTCTGCTCATACGGCGCATCACCGGCCGGCTTCTGCACGAGGCCAGTGGCCGGACGTACCACGTGGAGTTCAACCCGCCCAAGGTGTCAATGAAGGATGATGTAAGTGGAGAAAGGCTCTTGCTCAAAAGATCTGTCATGTTCTATTTCGCCCGTTCTTACCCCCACCGATCACTCACTCTACAGATCACCGGCGATCCACTGAAACGCCGGGCGGACGACAACGTCGAGTCGCTCAAGACCCGTCTCTCCGCGTACCACAACCAAACTGCCCCACTGGCGGGCTTTTACCGCGAGAAGGGCATCCTCACCACCATCGATGCGGCTCAAAAGTCGGACAAGGTCTACCAGACGATTCGCCAGGCGCTGCTGAAGCCCGGCAAGGCAGACCGCGTCAAGTTTGTCTGAGTCAGCAGCAGCAGCAGCAGCAAACCTAACAAGCGCAATGTCTCTGAAGCTAATTTTTGTGCGTTGAGCAGCCTGTTCCCCCTTCCTCTCAGTGCTGTTTTTCTCTAGGCCAACTTTCTCTGAATCAAATAAATCTGTTAACCAATTAACACTGGTCTGCAAGGGAAACAGGTAGTATCCTAATTAGCCCTCCTTTTGTTTACATCACGTGCTTGTGTCGCCCACTGAATCGAGGCAGCAGCAGCACTACCACCTCTATATAGCAGAATCCGTTCCAGAAACCTACTGCCGCCGACCTTGACGATGACCACTGCCAGCCAGCCCAGCTCATTGTTCGACTGCCATTGTACCACTATTACATACTCGGTAAGTGGGGTGGTGGTATATAGAATCAAGGACGTCTGGAGAAGAAGAGAATACAAGGGAGAGAGAGAGAGATGACGCAACCAACAACACAACAGCACAGCTGCAGCAGCATTCTATTCTCATCTGGTGAATCGGCATGCAAATGCAGCGAACACTTTTGCTGGCTGGCACTTGCCATTTCCAGGCACGTTTCAGGTTCTAGTTTTGTAGTTCTAGAGTGATTTTCCCAGCACTGCCAATTACCAGGACTGACACAGCAATTCATCATTAGTAGTGGCGATAATAAAGTGAGGTGAGTGTTGGCAAGCCAAAAACATGTCATTATGCAAAGCTTCTAACTTCGAACTTTCTTTTCCCTCTTTTAACACACCTTTTTGGCGTACTTGGCACTTCTTTTTCTTCCTCGCAAGACAACACAAGGCCTTCATTCCTCAAGTACCTCAACAACAGCCTGAGTTCAAGTCCTTAGTCTGTAAGTAACCAAAACCTTTATCACTTTTTATGACCCAAAGACCAAGTCCGCATCCTTTGCGCTTATCACTGTGTGTTTACATGGGACAACTTGTGTGTGAGATTACTTGTGGCACCTGATTGTGCACTTTGTAT